GGCCTAATGGTCATGGCGCCCTGGCTAGACATCCTATAGGTGTGTAAATGGGTGGAGGCGAATTTAAAACGGGGAGTAACCATGTGATGGACTAGCACCCCATCCAGGGGAAAGGGAAAGTAGAAATAGTTCGTCGCTTAGGCTGTATGGGCTACTTGCCTGACGCAGACTTTTTAAAATTCTATTACGTGCATCTCCATGAACACTGCCAGTAAGTTTTTTTTTTTCGGGACCCTCAGAGAAAATTTTCGTATTAAATTATTTAATTAAGTTGTGAATTTATCATTAATTTCTAATCATCAATGTTCTTATTCATTTATTTATTTACTTTTATTTTTTTTTCGGTCATTCCGGGAATTCCAGGTATTCCTGGACTTCTAGCTATCAACTTACTGCATCCTTTTCATTTTGTTTGCTAGAATTTGCACTAACTATCACATCAGCGCCGGAAAATCCATTTCTCGTTTTAGAAGGCAGCAACATCACTCTGGTCTGGCAGTACAACCTTGGTGGAACGTTTAGTAATTTGTTCTTCCGATTCCTCGGCAGTCCTTCGGTTAATGTCGTAGACAAATTCGACATCAACGCAAATGCATTGATTCCAGAGGCTTACAAAGGTCGCATCCAAGAAAACGTAACGTCTTCACATACAGCTATAACGATCCTAGATGTGAACAGATCGGACAGCGGAAGATACGAATTTGAAATATTCACAAAGCCTCCTCCTAGTCGGGACCGGGAAATTAACGAAACAGTCATCACAGTTCAGTGTAAGTAACTCCCATTTGTTCAAGATGTATATCGTATCTATTAGTTCTCCTTTGGAAACACTCTTCCACTTACTATACTTATGATGTGCATATCGTTCAACTCGTGGCAAGTTTGCTAACGGTTAACTTTTTTTTACGACTGATTGATACCGGTTAAAATTTGTCAATTTTTACGCCCAATTGCTATTTTTTTTTCTGCCGTTTCATGATTAACAGTTAATCTCATTGAGACCCTTCTCTTCGACTTTTTTTTAAATTTATTTGTTAACGTTCATGCTGAGAGACAAAACAAAAATTTTAAGAACATGCCAGGAACATACCTAGGCTGAGAGTCAGTTCAGAACGTCTCTATTTATCTTCTTTTTCTTTTTTTTTTTTTTTTCCTGCTAGAGATACAGATAAAGGTAAATGAAATGTAAAACTGAGGTCAAACAGGACAGTTTACTCAAACACTTGGGGACATTTTTTAACATGTTTAACCGAGATATCACCATCAGGACGCAAAACATGCGAAAGGCGAAGCAAAGTCCTTAATTTGGACAAATAATGAAGTCGAGTTATTGCTTAAAATCACGATCATGGCGTACAAAGTGGCCAAGACCATCGAAAATGTTGACGGAAATTACGTCAAACATGTACAAAGTTCTCTGAAATTTTGAACCTCTTTCTTGAGCAATATCCTTCGCCAAGGGGAAAAAAAAAAAAATATATATATATATATCTTTACGTCAGCGTTTTAAAAAATATACGGCTTTTTCCGTCCACACGACGCCGTATTCAGTGCTCATTAAAAAAATACAGTATGGGAATTGTTTTTAAAAAGTTGCGGTTTCATCACCGTATTCACCGGATAGGTTTGGATGGAAGGTCAATCCGAAATGAAAAAGTTGCGGACTCAAAAATAGCGGGATAGTTGTGAACGGGGCCTGAATAACTACCCTGTTTGTAGTCGAACTTAATTGAATTCTTGAAATACTACACTAATCACCTTTAAGAACAAGTCAAGAGCTCAAATCGCAAAAGGAAAGGAATAATAGGAACGTTTAGCCTCAGCCCCAAAATTAGACGTTCTTATAAAAAGACCCAGGGAAGACTGTAGTTGTTTTACGCATATATCATGTTTATTACATATAGTTCTCTTTAATATATGCTTGGTGTGAGTTTCGTAAAGCTTTTGATAAACCTTGTCGTAATTTTCTGGTAAGCTTTTAGGTAAGTCTTCCTTATCGCAAACGTGTTAGTACCAGAACGACTCGATTGTAAAAGGATCTCAATGGGGTTAACTGTCAACAGTCAAATGGCCAAAATATTAACCGTCAACGGTCAAAAACAAAATATTTTTAACGTCAACCTTCAAATAAGCAAGCCAATGTTAGCCGGAAAATGTCTCACATATCCTTAATTAAGAACTACACGACTGCCTTAATTGGGGTCAAGTTCTGTTGTTCATAAATAAAAGTTTTGATATATCACAAAACTCCGTAAGTCCTTTAGCTTCTCGTCGCGAGTAAAACTGGTTAGCGACAGAACTGACCTCCGGTGTGGAAACACTTCCAATGTCCTAAAACATTTATTAATAAAAGGTGCTAGAAATCAACAGTTCTTTACAAACGCGTCATTATAAAAATTACAGCCAAGTTCGCGCGTTTAGTTCGTTTTATAAACGACAAAAAAAATTAACCGTAAACCGTAAATTGACCTACCCTCCCCCCCCATTGGGACCCTCTTGTATGTACAACAGTGATTTTAGATAGAGGTTAGGTGTACTAGGTAGTCATGCAAGCGTATTTTCCGCTGTAAAATCCCTGCTTTTGAAGGTTTCATTTCACAGAAAAGAGATTTCAGGGACAAACTGACCCTCGATCGTTGCACTCTTCGTAGATATGCCCAGACCCGTCCATTGGCATGTGACAGTTACACTAAGTCGCTTTAAGAGAAAATAAATGAAAATACGTATCTAACACTCTCCATCACAAGCATTAATTTTCAGTCTCCCCTGCCGATGAAATGGTCTGAAATGTTTCGGGCCAGTTATTTTTTCCAGTTCAAATCAGGCTTTAGAGTAAATATAATTATGCATGGCAATGATGTAGCACCGAAGAATCAGAGAATATGGATATTAAATGGCTGGCGATTAAACCCAAAAAAAAACAAACGCTCTAACCATTTTAAAGCACGATCCTCCGTAATACTCACGTGTATAGGAGGATTGCTCTTGACTTCCATCTGTTCATGTCGAGAAAAGTGAATCAAAATAATTGTTAGGAACAACACTTCAACTGCTGAAAAAAAGTGTCAATATGGCATTGTTGACATAGCATTAGTATTTAAATTTGTACAATTATGTTCATTCTTCACAACTACACGGTGGAGTATTCATTTGCTCATTTATTCATTAATTATATGTTTACAAGGAAAATAGAACATTCATTTGATAACTAATTTTCGTTCTCAAACAGATCCACCAGAATTCACCAGCGTCAGTGATGATGTAGTTCTTGTTGAAGGTGAAGGTGATCCCAGTGTTACTTTAGAGTGTACTGCAGATGGTGAACCAACACCAAACATCACTTGGACCAGAGTATATGCTAGTGGAAGTGACAGTGGTGTACTGACAACTGAGAGTCAGTTTGTCCTTGAAAACAACAGAACTAACAGTGGAACATATCGCTGTACAGCATATAATTGGATAGGAACTCCAACAAATCGTACAATTAAAGTAAAAGTTAATTGTAAGTAGATAAACTGTACGTTGCAGCTTAAATTTGGTTTAAGAAATGATTGTCATAGTTATGGTAAAAATAGCACAAAATGAAACTCAGTCAAATGGAAGCAGGGCATTAAAAAGCCTTACAGCCCAACATGGTGAATGAATAATATTCATGGTGAATGAATAAAGACACAGGGGGTTTAACTGTTATTTGTAAATTGAAAAGTAACGAAACAAAATTAAAATCTGTGACAATCTGTTGCATTGCCACAATCATTGCTGAAGCCAGTAATTGTGGCAATGCAACAGAGATGGCAAGCATTGATGTGCAATGTAAGCTTCTAATGTTTACACACCATACTTTACTGTTTCAGATCCTGCGGAGAAAATAGTTTTGTAAAGGCTTATGATCGTTTTAAACATTTGCTTTTTCATAGTCAAACCTGAGAAAGTGCTACTGGCAACATCTGCAATGAAAAAAAAAGCCTGTCTGGGTGATGTCATCAGCTTTACCTGCTCAGCTGATGCTAATCCAACAGTGACCTCATATCAGCTGTTCAAGAATGACAGTTCCATTTTAGATAAAAGCATGTCAGGAATGTGGAATGAGACTTTGGAAATTGTAGGAGTGTTTTTGTACGGATGTGTGGCAAATAACACGCTAGGATCGATGCACAGTACAAACGTCATGCTAACAGTCAATGGTACTTTGTTTGAATTTTATCACTTTTGATCAACACTTGGCCATTTTGCTTCTATAGAACTTTTTATCAAAGTACAAGTTCACAAGTGACTATCATGCCATTTTTTTCATTTTTCCATACTAAGGGATTTTGCTAAAAGCAGCCCCGCAGCCCAGCGGGCTGCGGACCGCGCGACGGCCCAACGGCCTGGCAGCCCGAAGGCCCAGCGGCCCGCAACGGCCTGCGACCTGGAGGTCCGGTGGCCCAGTCCTGATTTTCCAGTTTTTTCGTCCAGCAGTAAATCCACGCGCATGCACAGATCTGCATCGGGTTTGGGCGTGCAAAACGGACGACAATGAATTTGAATTCGTTTACCATTTAATCATTTGAATCCTTGTTTCTGTTTTTTGCATGTTGTTCAGATAAACACGTTTTGATTCTATGATAATAATAATCAGCTTTATTGAGGAAAATTTTTCATAACAAATACGGTTTTCAAAAAGGACCTCGAAATTAGATATATATAGTAGAAACAAAAAAAAACAATAAAATTTCAAAGGGACTAAAAGGATACAAAAACTGTATAAAAGATTAAAAATAAGTATAAATAAACATTAAATGTAAGTAGCTATATTAAAAACTTAAAAACATTACGTTTAAAACTACTGACATTCTTTGAGTCTTTGATCGTTTGACTGAGAGAGTTAAAATCGGAAACGGCATGATATTGTGTTCTTTGCTTCCCTCAATTTCTTTTGACACGTGGTAATCTAAAATTGCCTTTGTTACGTGTATTATGCCTATGAAGTATGTCTTGTCTAATCAAGTCCATATTGTGATTAATTAGGCCATTGATGCATTTGTATACGTGTACACACCTTCTTTGAAATCGCCTTTTCTCTAGAGGCAGCCACTTGAGAACAGCTAATGCCTCAGTGGAGGATGAGTACAATGGTATATTTAAAATAACTTTAGCAGCCTTATTTTTGCAAAACTTGCAAACTAGACATAAGAGTAATATTATGTTTATCGCCCCATATTAGATCAGCATATTAAAAAAGGGGCATAACAAGACCTTTATAGAAAAGTAAACACGCCCTGAAAGGCAATAAATGCTTTATACGCTTGAGAAGCCCAAGCCTCTGATTGATTTTCCCAGTTAGGTGTTCAATATGATCAGTCCATGTGAAATCCGAAGATATATGTATACCGAGGTATTTAAAGCTGCGAACATTACTTATACTATGATCTAAAATTGAAATAGACAAATCTACTTTGCTTTCGCGTTTCCTATTACTACCGATAAGCATGTATTTAGTTTTGTCCAAATTTAAAGTCAATCTATGATCATGAAGCCATTTCGCCAAACCTTGTAGATCGTTATTTAACTTATCACTCAACTCCTTTTAGGATGTACCATAGCAATAAATCACAGTATCGTCTGCATAAAGTGACGCGTAGCAGGAATTAAGCACATTTGGCAAGTTACTTATGTAAATCACAAACAACAAAGGCCCTAAAATGCTACCCTGTGGCACCCCATGCGTGACTTTAAGTTCCTCAGATAGCTCATTTCTACATGAGGTGCGCTGTTGGCTACCAGTTAAGTAAGAACGGAACCAGTGAAGAGCTGTTTCAGAAAGGCCGATCTCGGATAGCTTGCATAACATTATTTGATGGTCTACCGTGTCAAGTAATGTTCATTAATCTCTCTACAGAAACCGATAGCACAATGCGATATGTGAACTGCGAATCTTTTCTATACAGAGACATGTCGATCTATTTCCAGGAATTCCAGCCCAAAAGGAAAGCGTGTTCTGAAACATTGCTTTCCGGCGATGTAAATACCGTATTTATTCGAATACGATAGGCGCCTTGGGCCCACCGCCCTTGGTTCTCAATGGCGGTGGGCCCTTATTCGAGGCTGGGAACTTCTTAAATTTGCACAATCTTTAACAGGTAGCAGAATTTTATCTGTTCATTGAAAGTTTTTGTAAATTACTAAGGAAACTCTGTGTTCGGGTAAGTCTCTTAGTGGTACTTACTCGATTTCAATCTCATTTTCACTAAGGTCAACAAGCGAACTCTGCTTCTCAGTCGGGCGACCGACCGATTTGCCGACGTTACGCTGTCGGACATCGAAGAGGCAGCTTCTTATTCGAGGTTGGGCGAAGAATACGGTACATTATATTAGGTGTAAAAGGTTACTTTTCAATCACGACGAAAATTGAAAAATTAAACCCCGCCATCAAGAAATTCAACTTTGTTGTTTGTGTTGTGCTTCAATTTTACCGCTGGTTCATATTTTATTTCACGTTTTTGTTATGATACTTTCACTAATGGACAGAGAATGAAAACGCTTTTATCTGAAGAACGTGCAACAAACAGAAACAAGGGTTCAAATGATTAAATGGTAAAACGAATTCAACTTCCATGCCGAGAAATCGAATAAAAAATGGCGGCGGAACATGCGCAGTGTGAAAGATTTGAGGACTTTAAAAATGGTTTCCCCTGACTCACTGTCGTCCATTTTGCAAGCCCAAACCCGATGCAGATCTGTGCATGCGCGTGGATTTACTGCTGGGCAAAAAAACTGTGGAAAATCAGGACTGGGCCTCTGGGTTACAGGCCGTGGCGGGCTGCTGGGCCTTCGGGCTGCCAGGCTACAAGGCCGTCGCGGACCGGGGACCGCGGGCCGCGAACCGTAGTCCGCGGGCCGCTGGGCCGCGAACCGCTGGGCCGCGGGCCTGCTTTTCGTAAAACCCCATACTAAAACCCCATACTAAGGAGGAATATAATCACTATGAAAATCTTGTTCTGCATGTTTCCAAATTTATGAGAATGTATTATATTTTTATTTAAGTATATTTACAAACTTTTGTTCCAAGCCAGTTTATTTTAGCTTATTGTTGGGGATAGCACAAAACTTCGACGCGTTATCTGTAATATTCCTTTAATTTTCGACCATCACAATTGATAGTATGAACATATCACGAAAAATCGGTTACAGGACGGTGAAAAGGTTTGTGCGAACCAAACGATTAAAAGAATAGTTTACTGCTGCAAGAGCTCGTCGATAAGAGCACATGTGAGAAGCTACAGTCCAAAAAACATGTGACAACACTGTACTTCGTGTATATGTACCGAAACGTAACCCAACAAAAAAAAAAAAAAACAAGAACAAAGGAAAAACGTCACGGACTAAGTTTAACTAAACATTCCGCCCGCCTTGGGACGATTCGGTAGGACGATCGCCCAAAACTCCTTGTTCAGCTCAAGTTTAGGTCTTCTCAAAATCATTTTTCAGTAGGCACAGCTTCTGAGTCTTTCAATTTGACTTTCTCCAAGACCCGTCCAAGACTCCCATGCCCTCTTTGTGCGTTTTCATCAACCAGTAGGGCCAGAGCATTTGGTTTTAAATTGGGAAGGGATTTGCGCCATTTTCCTCGAATTTGCAGGGTTGGCAGGTATTCCCGTAGCCATCGCTTCCAAAACAGGTCAGCCAGGAATTGAACTTGCTTCCACTTCCTCCCGTAGTTATCAGCCTTCTCGAACGCGCCTGGAGGTAGGCAGATGGACTTTCTTCGCATCAGAAAATGCGCAGGAGTGAGCGGCTGCAAGTCGTTTGGGTCATCTGAGTTGGCAGTGAGTGCTCGGCCATTCAGCACTCGTTCGACTTCCGTGAAGAGAGTTTCAAGAACTGGTTCTGTCACTACTTAAGTCCCGACGATTGCCTTTAGAACGGTCTTGGCACTGCGCACCATCCGCTCCCAGATCCCCGGCATGCTAGAAGCGGTAGGGGGGCTGAAAGACCCATTTGCAACCTCTCTGTAGCAATTCCCGATGAATCTGTTGTTGGTTCCACGACTTAAACGCTTCTCTCAGTTCCCTTTCAGCTCCGACGAAATTTGAGCCTCGGTCGCATCTTAGTTCAATCACTTCACCGCGACGGTTAATGAATCTTCGTAGACACAGTAGAAAATCGCTCGTACTCATCGACTGAACCAATTCAAGGTGGACCGCACGAGTATTTAAGCAGGTAAACAGACAGCACCAGCGTTTAGCTGTTCCTCTTCCGTGCTTTACATATAGGGGTCCAAATAGGTCCATGCCTGAGTACGAAAATGGAGGTTGATAGGCCATCATTCGACTTTTCGGGAGAGGAGCCATTTGCTGAGTCATCGGCTTCGCTTTCAACCTCTTGCACAGGATACATCGTGCGAGGATGGATCGAGCCAAAACTCTAATCTGAGGGATCCAATACTTCTCGCGTACCTTTGCTATCAGGTGCTCGCGGCCAAGGTGGCCGATCGATTCGCGGATATGGCGGACAATTATGGCTGTTACTGGGTGATTTCGTGGCAGAATCACCTGATTCCTAGCAGCGTCAGCGACTGGCGGTGATGTTACGCGCCCTTTGACTCTCAGAATACCGTGGTCATCAAGCACTGGATTCAGGCTGACAATGTTACTGGATAACTTAGCTTCACCTCTGGCCTTCAGGTCTTTAACTTCTTGGGTATAAGCTGAACGTTGGACAAGTCTTGCGATAACTACGGCAGCAGCATTATAGTCCTCTAAGGCAAGGTGGCCCTTCTGAACAGTCTCTCGACTGTAAAGGAAGTGAATGAAGCGAATAAGCCAAGCCACTTGACGTCTCAGTCGATTCCAATCGGAGCAGCCACTTAGTATCCAATGGATGATACACTGGGATATAACAGTTGAAGAATTCTCAGAAAGCGGTTGTGGTTGTTTAGTACGGAGATCGGTGCTTATGTCGGTAAGGTTAGCGTGGGTGACCTTTTTCAGCTCCAATACTTCATCTGAAACCTCCTTATGCTCTGCATTGGGCCAGACAGATTCTGGCTGCCAGAGGAATTCCGGCCCTCGTAACCAACGGTGATTTGAGCTCAGCTGTGAGGGGTTCAGCCCACGTGAGACATCATCAGCTGGATTTAAGGTACCCGGTACATGATTCCAGTCATCGGGTTTTGAGTTTTCTCTGATTTCTTCTACGCGAT